CCCCCCTCCGAATAAGCATCAGTTTTTTTTATGCGTCTGTCCTCTTATTATCGGCTACACCTCGTATATCCACACTACTTTGATAATGTGATGACGCAATTTATCGTCAATAAGAGGACAGACGCATAAATAAAATGATGTCTATTTGTTAATTCGATCTGTTTTGTATTCTATTTCTTTTTCACGGATTTATGGTATGCACTCTATTGAAAAACCTTCAGTAAAATATCAAATACTTTGTAAATAACCGTAACAGGTACTTTTATATTGTGTAACTGTTCCAGAAAAATCTAAAAAAAAMCACTAAAATCTACGAAATTTAAATTATAAATAACTTGCAGCTAAATTTAAACTGTTTATAGTCTAAGTCAGAATCGCGAGGACAAACTTAAGTTTATGCCTCAAAAATTGGGCAATTCTTAGGGAATCCTTTATTCTGTGCGCTCGATGGCGTGACAAGACGTGACGTGAGGTGACAAAAGGTTTTCCCTTAGTTAGATAGTAACTGAATGTTGTTTTGGCGGGAAGCAGCTGCAAGCGCGCCAGCTGAAAATTCGCCTATTAATTATTTAACTTGGTTTTTAGGATTTTTTTTGTTTGTATTTGACAGGATTTTGCCAGCAAACGCTTTGCTATAGGAAGAAATCAATAAAAAAAACAAAAACAATAAAAGACAAGAATTAGAGAGTGAGCCAAAGGATCGGAATTCTGGTCATTAAGAAATGTATTTGGTTTGTGAAATCGCTGTGTACACCAAATAATCCGAAAAAAGCATTAGGGCTCCATGCATGGGGTGATTGCCGCTCATTTAAACCGATGAACAAACGTTAGTTCAGTGGGCTGATCCAGTGTTATGTAAAAAAGAGAAACTAAGTATGACTAAAAAATAATCGTTTTTGGAGCTGAAATGTTGGAGTGCTCAGCTAACAGCGTAAACAAGTCGAGTTCTTTATTTTGCGAAATCTCTTCATCTTGTCAACAGCTTGTCATCTATAAGTCTATCTTTTCCAGTACAAAAACACCCCGCCAAAAAAACGTTGCGTCCAAGTTCGAATCTGATTTCATTGCTAATACAATAAAATAAGCATTTTTTTATCGACTAAATGGTTGTAAAGTCGTCGCAGGAAGTTCATTTTGATGTGCACATGTTGCCGGAGAAAAAAATCTAATATGTGACAATTTGAGATATAAATAAAGTCAAGACCTTCGCTTCCTTTTTTACGTTTTTTCTTTTGCGTGTCGTAAGTACGACCTAGAGACTTAAACCTTTTATTTCATCGGCTAAAACATAGGAAATTTTAATTTAATTTGGAGTAGTATAGGCTGAGAGAGAAACAGTATCTCGATTGAAATTGAAAAACAATGGATTTTGCAATCATCGTTTTCTCTTTAAAGATATAATTCTACAAATTATAAGTCCCGAACGCCTACAAACCATTAACTCGCTTTTCGGCAACTCTAGATTTCAATTCAAGTAGCTTTGAAATCAAGTGGAATTATGTAAAGTCATATTTTATCGAGAAGRAAGCGGTCGCTAGGAACATGAATTTTTTATTTTTATTTTTTCCTTGTCCAATTTCATGCCTTTTAAGCTACGTTATCAATAGCATTCTAACAACATATCTATTCTATTTTATGACTATTAATATTTTTTGCTTTCTTTCTTTCTATGAGTTTGTTTACATATATAGTTACGACTTAAATCCCAAATTTCATTTTCAAACACGAATTCGAATATCGAATTTCAATATCCCTTGTAGAATATTACTAGTGATGACAGGGCCAAAATGAGAAATTACTATTCTTTAACATAAAACAACGTTAAAACGTACAATCATACATTCATTAAATCCGTGTTATTGCAACATTTTCACAGTATGAATTTTAATTTTTGCTGTAAGATTCGATTTTGTCTAGATCTTTTAGAGAATTCAAATCATAGTCAAAGCTTACCTCGTGCGAATGTTAGTACAGAACATCCCAATAATAACTGCAAARCTCCAATTACAAAATAAAATTTAAGCGTTTCCATCTTCAATGGCGATTTTCTTGAATGTGTTTTGCGAATGCGAATTCAGTGTTTACTCTTGAGTCGCTTTTTGCTATAATTCCTTGAAAATACCGAGTCGTGAATGACAGCACGTCTGCCAAAAATAGGAATATATTTTCTCTAAGTGTTTGTTCAATTGGCCGACTGGATTTTTTTTTTCGGGCCTAGCTTAAGGCAATGTTTGTCAACCAGTGTGAGACAAGCACTTCAGTTATGTCTGGCTTAGCATTTTCATTAGCGAGCCTGAAAAAGCCAATGCTAATACGAGGGATGACTTAGATAATAAATATGACATCAATAAATTATTTATGTTGTTATAGCAGGTTATTACAAGTTGCATTTGGATGGCGATGCGCAAATTGTTGAGTTGAAACAACTTTTTGATGAAGTCGACGTCATTGGACTTTTCATAGAAATGAAAAAAGGAAAAATGATAAACGAAAATTGAGAGAAATAGGTTTGAAACTATATGCAGATTTGATGAAAAGATATATATCGTTAATTTAAGACCGAAAAAGAGCTGAAATAAAAACAAGGTGTTGGAAATCGCTTCTTCCTTTTTTTTATTTTAAAGAAAACTTAAATGCTTTTTTTGTTGTTGTTCTCCCATCTCTCAGGCTTACATGAAAAAAAGCTATATTCGTACGAAAAATTCAGTCTTTATGTAAAAAGGTCATGTCAAGTTTTAGAAAACTTCATTGAATTTATTAGTGAAAACTTGAATTCTTTTTTCGTTTCTTAAAAAATTACTAACAAAGTCAGGTTTAAGAAAGATCTCTTTATGTAAATAGTTCAACTCAATTCTGACTGACACAATTTTGGGCTAAACTAATTTTGAATTTTAAACATTTCAAAATCACTCAGCTAAGTTGAGTTCTTC